TATTTAGTTGGAATCTTTTCAATGTCTCTTACATTGTACGACACATTTTCTTCAATTTGTGGTTGATATGTTTCTCCTTCTATAACTGCTGCTTTAATTTGTTGAAAAGTTTTCTTATGCTAAAATAAGACAAAAAGAAAATATTCAGAAAAATCTTTTGTTTATACCTTATTGTGTTGTTACATGTACATTGTAAAATAAAGGGAATACAACCCTTTATAACCATATCTTTCTTTTGAAATGTCATCATCTTGTTTTCTCTCTATTTTTGGCCAAATTGCAATTCATATTGTCTTTGGCAATTTATATTATAGTTTACCGATTTAACAATTTAACATAATTCATGTAAGTTTCACCATGTCCCTGTGCTTATCAATATGTTGGTCTTCTAGTCCAGTCAAACTAAGTGTTAACCTCAAACTAATTGCAACAGAAAATGTTTAAGTTCTAATCTATAGCATTAAGCCCTAAATATACACAGAAAAGAGTCCCATAACATCTAACTTGAGGAAAACTCAAAATCAGCATTTATTTAAATTTCCTATGGAAATAAGCATTGGAAGGGGAGATAACTCCGCAAAAATGAGTCTTCTTTTGTCAGTTTTTGGTTGATGTTTATTAAAATTTATGTAAAGGATGATACTTAGATGGGGTTATAAGTTTATATTTGACTATATTATATAATCTTCTGCTCATGAAATGTACAAAACCGAAGTGTTATGGGTATTTTTATTTTTTTTGGTGCATTTTTCATTAAAGAAATTGCAAATTTGTTGCTTTGTGACCATTTTGAAAAAAAAATGTGAAAATTTGGTATTGTTTATATCTGTATATTATATTTGTTCAGCATCTACCTTGTTTAAAGAAAATTTAATCAACAAAAAGAAGAATATATGCTTAATTATTTTTATCAAATTTGATATTCTTTACCTTGACATGTTGAAAAATTCAATAAATGGTCAACTAATGAATTATGAAATCTAGATTGTGGCTTGATAAAAGATATGAAAACACCTTTAGAGTTGTTTGTTATACTCTAAAGACGGCTAAAATATCAAGAATCAATACATTTTGTTGAATAGAAGCGGTAAAGTTATAATTTTGTATCAATTTTCATTGATATTTCTGCCTTTTTTGCAGAGTTATCTCCCTTTTCAATGCAAATCTCCATAGGAATTTTAAATCGTGATTTTTTTAGTCTTCCTTTAGTAAGATTTTATGGGACTTTTTTCTGTGTATATTTTGAGTATAATGCTGAAGATTAAAACTTAAAAATCTTCAGTTGCAATTACTTTGTTAGGGTCAAATTTATGCTAGATTGACTGGACTATTCTGTATTTTTAAAGTTGTGGTGTTCAGGTAATTATTCTTGAGATAACTTCTCTTATATATGCCAAATCATGCTTTCAATTGTAAGACAGTTGATATACTAAAATTTTCACTTCAAAACATCTCATGGAAGCGAGATCAATAGACCTGTATTTATACAGCAGAGGGTACTGCACTGGTTAATAGAATTTTGGATACATTTAACAAGGCACTTCATATCTGAGAAACAGGCTAAATATGCCTCCAATTTTAGAATTCAATCATATATTTCTGTATTATTAAAAATTATCACTAAATTGCAGTGAGGTGAGACTTATATATTTCTTCGTGTTGAGGCTTTAATGTGACTTTGAGATGAAGAACCTCAATAAAACTAATTATATGCCATGAAGTTTTACCTTTCTTTTTAATCTGTCACGTTTGAAATGAACTGAGGAGCTATTCTTCTTTTGCCAGAGTCTCTTTCTGTCAATCCTCTGTCTAACTCTAACAGAAATTGTGCCTGGTGACAGCAATGCTTTCTTGTTAACCTAAAACAAGGTAAACTAGTGAGAAATGTTTTAGATGACAAAAAACATAACCCTTCCCTTTAAATTCTATATTCGACCTTTGGATAAGGTCACATGAAGGTCAACCACACACTGCTTTATATTCAAACAATTAAAAACCAAATTAACATCATTTATGGTGTGGACAAGTATTGCTGAGAAAAAGCTGATTAAAAAAATACAATTAAGTCCAATTTGAACTTGATAACCTTTGTAAGGTCATTCACCTTTGTATCTAATTTGACAAGAAGAGGCTGTCAGAGTGACAGCAAACCGGATTTTCCTGCAGAGGTCGAACCCTGAACAGTTGAGCAAGTATGGACACTATATTTAAGCTTAAAACAGCTCTGAATTTGGATTGTGATTGAATATTTGACACAGCATAGGTTTGTGACACAAAATGAATGTGGTTTAAGAACTAAAATACTAAAAATTGGACATTTAAATACCTATTATGGTCCAATATCCAAAATCTAAGTACATATTAGAATCAGCATATCAAAGAACCCCAAGAATTCAATTTTTGATGAAATCAGACAAAAGTTTAATTTAAGACCCTTTGGACCTCAATGTGGACCAACTTGATAAAGGAGACCACAATCCAAAATCTCTCAATACATGTTAGATTCAGCATTTCAAAGAACCCCATAAATAATTTTTTTGTTGAATCAAACAAAGTTTAATTTTGGACCCTGATTTGGACCAACTTGAAAACTGGGCCCAAAAATGTAATATTTAAATACAGGTTTAGATTCAGCATTTGAAAGAACCCTATATATATTTAATTTATGTTGAAATGAAACACAGGTTAATTTTATCCATAATATTTTCTGTGCAAAGGGAAATAACTCAAACTGGATAAATAGTTCTCTAAAATAAGATATGATGCAATTTTTCAAATTATAATCAATAATATAATAACAACAACCAGTGATGACTAAGTTCTCTAAAATTAGATATCATTTATCACTCAAACATTGCTAGAATCAGCATATCAAAGAACCAAAGAATTCAATTTTTGATGAAATTAATCAAAAGTGTAATTTAGGACCCTTTGGACCTCAATGTGGTATTATCTTATTAATAATGAAAAGAAATACAGGTTTAGATTAAGCATTTCAAAGAACCCTATACATATTCAATTTATGTTGAAATCAAACACAGTTTAATTTTGGACCCCAATTTGGACCAACTTGAAAACTGGGCCCAAAATCAGAAATCTAAATATATGTTTATTAATAGACAATATAAGCTGAGTTTTTAAAGGAGTTTACTCCATCAAAAAAAAAAATATACAAACTTGCCACAAAATTCTACAAACAATTTACCAAAGAAAAGAAGAAAAAAATCCAAAATTTTATTTATCATTAATACAATTTCATTTCAAAATCTATAAAACTTATCAGTAACAAGAAATAATTGTAACAGAAAGCTGTTACAAAGTCTCCCAAACAAAACTCCAAGAATTCGTCATTCCCATTGTCGCTTGACATTGGGCAATGTCCAGTACAAATTGGTTTATGATATGCATTAGTGACACCTATGGATTGACCCTGTATGTCATTCAAATCTTCTTGAAATTAAGAACAGGAATTTATTTTTTATGGTTTAGGGGTGGAGATCTCGACCGTTTACAAGTTCTCAAAAGGGGGGGGGGGGGGGGGGGGTGATCCCCAGGGGACTCTCCTTTTATTTCATATGATTTGTTTTTTTGTCCTGTACAAGAATATATATATGGTTTAGGGGTAGGGATCTTGACCATTTACAAGTTCTTAAACAGGAGGGGGTGGGGTGACCCCAGGGGACTCACCTTATATTTCATTTGATTTGTTTTATTGTCCCATTCAAGAATATATATGGTATGGGTGGGGATCTCAACGGTTTACAAGTTCTTAAACAGGATGGGGTAGGGTGACCCCAGGGGACTCGCCTTTTATTTCATTAGATTTGTTTTATTGTCCCATTCAAGAATATATATGGTTTTGGGGATCTTGACTGTTTACAAGTTATCAAAAAGAAGGGGGGTGGGAGTGACCCCCATGGACTTCCCCTATATATCATTTGATTTGTTTTATTGTTCCATTCAAGAATATATTTGGTTTAGGGGTGGGGATCTCGACGGTTTACAAGTTCTTAAACAGGATGGGGTGGGGTGACCCCAGGGGACTCGCCTTTTATTTCATTTCATTTGTTTTATTGTCCTACACAAAAATATATATGGTTTAGGGATGGGGATATCAACCGTTTACAAGAAAAAAGTACATTCTCAAATTGAAAGGGGGTGGGGGTAAGAATATATATGGTTTAGGGATACTTAATTATCTACAAAATGTCTAATAATGAACAGTAAATTTCAAATTTCATTTATACAGTCCTACTAGTAAATTTCAAACTTTATATATACAGTCCTACAGATCTTATCAGTTAACAGAAAATTTTCAAATAAATCTGTCACTCCAATGATATTATATGTTAAGATATAACCCAGATCTAATTAATAATTAATAATGTAATTAACTTCAAAATGTCTAATAATATAGCTTATAATCATTACCACTTAGGAAATAGATAATTTTCAAATAAATCTGTCACTCCAATTTTTATTGTGAGATAAGACATTATGCTTAGTCATAAAAAAGATAACAAGAGTAAAATATTAAAAAATTCCACTTTTGGATATTAAAAATGGCAATAACTCACAAAGGAGATATACTTATATCTTGAAAATTGAACTAGACCTTCATTAAGTCCCAGAAAACAACATATTTAAATTTGAAAAAAATTTGTTAAAGCGTTTTCATGTTATTGTGCTGACACTGTTTGGCAGCCGCCCGTAGGCCCGCCCAGCTGCCCGCCGTACATCACCATTTTAATAACCAATATTTCCTTCCAAAATCAGGTTAATAATCACTGTATCAGTTTTCAAATTATTGTTTAGAAACCTAAAATGACAGGTCACAAACATTATACTATGTTTATGTTACATGGGGTAAAATAAAACAGGAAATACACAGTATTTATAATATATAAGCTGTAACACAATACCTTGTTAACCCAGGTATAACCTTCATTCTTCTGAAGAACTGCAGCTGAAACTCTTGCTTTTAATAAGCTGGTTCCACCTTATGATCTACAAAAAGAAATTTCACAGTTAATATTGTAAAGCAGCTGTCAGAAGATTAAACTAGCTAAAATTATTATAAAACTGTTTCAGGGGGAATAACTGTTCAAACATCTTTGAATTGTTCACTTTTGTTTCATAAGATCTCATATTAGTTTTTAAAATTTTGAAATTATATCTTTAAAAGTTTTGGAGTTGAATCACAAAACCTTTGCCACCTGTCGTCTCCTAGGCCTGCCCTCCTCATATCAAAAATTTAATTTTATAAAGTGAAACTTAAATTCATGTTAAACCGTTTGCACTGTTGGTTATTTTTTGTGTATACAGTGATATCAAAATGAAGGATTGTTTTTTAGGAATATGCTAATGATCATAGTTTAAAAAAAGAATTCTGCTAAGTAAGTTTTCAGAGAAAAAAATTCTGAAATAGTCAATTTTCTAATGACAGATAAACAGCAATCATCTCCCTTTGAAATTGAAAGAATTCTATTTTGTATTGCTATGTTTATATTCATTTTCTTTGTGTTTGATGTTGGAATTATTTTTGGGATGTTACTGAAAGGTTATAATCAATGTTTTTAGTTACTGACCTATTTTTTGGAGCCTTGCTTGCAACTATATTGTTGAAGTTTTCATTGCTCTGTATTGACCCTAAATCTACAAGTTGGCTTGATCTTTTCTTGTAATTTTCTGTCACTGTCTCTAACTGCTTACGCAGGTTCTCATTTGTCAATGGTTCACCTTTTGGGAGATGTTTATATCTGAAATGATACCAAAGAAAATAGTTGAAATGTCATACATTATATGAATGTTGATTTATGGCAATGTTTCAAATTGATCTATACTGTACAATTTTATTTACCTGTCCATTTAGTTAAAAAGCTTGCTTGCATATTCCTAAAGAGGCTGAACTGTGTTATTCATTATGTATTGTAATGCATTTTTTTTTATAACAAGGATTTTGATTGGACAAAATCACATACCTTCAGGGGGTAAAACTGATGATGTACCTGTTGGATGAAATTTTTTGCGCTGTGCCACAGATGAAATTTCCAAAATATAAAAACAACAAGAATGTGTCCCAAGTACATGGATGCCCCATCCGCACTATCATTTTCTATGTTCAGTGGACCGTGAAAATGGGACAAAATCTCTAATTTGGCATTAAATCTAATAGGATCATATCATAGGGAACATGTGTACTAAGTTTCAAGTTGATTGGACTTCAACTTCATCAAAAACTACCTCAACCAAAAACTTTAACCTGAAGCGGGACAGCCGAACGGACGAACGGACGGACGGACGAACCAACATATGGACAAACGGATGCACAGACAGACCAGAAACATAATGCCCATAAATGGGGCATAAAAATTTATTGAGAAAATAAGACTTGTGCATAACAATAACTGTGTTGTATTTGAATATTTGCTGATGGTTTTATCTTACATTTTTTAGTCACCCGAAAACTCATTTGGTGATAGTAACATCACGGATGGAATAGTCCATTTGCAAGTATTCAAATACAACACAATTATTGTTCAATTCCAGGAAAAAATGTTCTTCAATTAACCATTACAAGTCTTTTTATTGTCTGTAAATTATTTTGGTCCTAATGATCCTATAATTGTATTTACCTGAAGAAAAACCTTTTGTTTTTGTTTGTTTTATAGAATGAGAGGATGTACTTGTTTTATTGTACATTGTATATTGTTTTTTTTCTGCATTTATATGACAAAATTGGTTGTCAGCATTTAAAATAGCAATAACAGCTCCCAAAATTAACTTTTGTTCTGGCATATATCACTCATAATAAAAATATAAAAAAAAAACATTCATATATATGTATAACATCCTTCAAATTTAAAAAAAATCAAACCTGTATGTTGATGGTTGCTTGGAATATGTGCACCAATCCCCAGAACAGCCTGAATGGTCTCCAAAGAGGTGTGGAACTATACTGTCTAATCTTTCACAAAGTTCATCCTCCTTTGACTGTTTTGAACTTATAGCATACATATAGCATCTAAGTATGTAAGGAATAACTCCTTTTCCCTTCAGCTCTCTGTACTTATTTGCTGCTGCATACAGTTGTTTCCACAGATTTTTCTTGACATGGTTCTTGTCGTCTCTTTTTTTAATTTTTTCAAATTTTTGCTTCAGCCTTGATGTTGTTGTAGAGTCATTATCTGCGTGAATAATGCCAACTGTGCACCCTCTGTCGTCCATCCTTGTAACCATGGATAAAGCCATGTCAGGCTCCATGCCTTTACTTGACCCTGTAACAAAAAAGGACATTGTAATTAATACAATTAATTACGTGAGAACTGTTTTGGATGACTGAAACATATTTCATCTCCCTTCTTATAACTTACAAAACTAAATTATTTGACATTGTAGTCTAAGAATAAGGTCATGGTGGTACACAACACACATACTTGATTTGTAAGCGCATAGCCATAAGGAGGTGTTATGACTATGCAATAATAAACCAAATATCATTGTCCTTTTTTCAAGGACCAAAACAAAAAGTTATGTTTTTATACGACCGCAAAAAAAATTTGTGGTCTTATATTGGTATGACGTTGGCGTCGTCGTCGTCCGAAGACACATTGGTTTTCGCACTCTAACTTTAGTTTAAGTGAATGGATCTCTATGAAATTTTACCATAAGGTTCAATACCACAAAAGGAAGGTTGGGATTGATTTTGGGGGTTATGGTACCAACAGTTAAGGAATTAGGGGCCAAAAAGGGGCCAAAAATAAGCATTTTTGTAACTTCCAGACATAACTTGTGTGTATAAGTGTATGGATCTCTCTGACATTGTACCACAAGGTTCCATATCACAAAGGGAATGCTGGGATTGATATTGGGGGTAATTGCCTCAAAATTTTAGGAATTAGGGGCCAAAAAAGGGGCAAAAAACAAGCATTTTTCTAGTTTCATGAAAATAACTTGTGTGTTAGTGTATAGATCTTTCTGAAATTGTACTAAAAGGTTCCATATCACAAAGGGAAAGCTGGAATTGAGTTTGAGGGTAATTGCCCAAAACATTTAGGAAAAAGGGGCCAAAAATAAGCATTTTTCTAGTTTCCAGACAATAACTTGTGTTCAAGTGTATGGATCTCTCTGAAATTGTACTGAAAGGTACCATACCACTAAGGGAAGGCTGGGATTGATTTTGGGGGTAATTGCCTCAAATTTGAGGAATAAGGGCCAAAAAGGGGCAAAAAACAAGCATTTTTCTGGTTTCAGGACAATAACTTGTGTGTAAGTGTATGGATCTTTATTAAATTGTACTTCAAGGTTCCATATCACAAAGGGAAAGCTGGGTTTGAGTTTGGGGGTAATTGCCCTAAACGTTTAGGAAAAAAGGGCCAAAAAGGGGCCAAAAATAAGCATTTTTCTAGTTTCCAGACAATAACTTGTGTTCAAGTGTATGGATCTCTCTGAAATTGTACTGAAAGGTACCATACCACTAAGGGAAGGCTGGGATTGATTTTGGGGGTAATTGCCTCAAATTTTAGGAATAAGGGCCAAAAAGGAGCAAAAAACAAGCATTGTTCTGGTTTCAGGACAATAACTTGTGTGTAAGTGTATGGATCTTTATTAAATTGTACTACAAGGTTCCATATCACAAAGGGAAAGCTGGGTTTGAGTTTGGGGGTAATTGCCCTAAATGTTGAGGAATTTGGGGCCAAAAAGGGGCCAAAAAACAAGCATTTTTCTAATTTCCAGACAATAACTTGTGTTCAAGTGTATGGATCTCTCTGAAATTGTACTGCAAGGTACCATACCACAAAGGGAAGGCTGTTATTGAGTTTTGGGGTGATGAATGATTAGGGGGTTGGTTAATATACATGTTAAGTATAAACTTTGAAATCATAATGGTTCTGAAGATATAGAGCAGACACAATCTTCACCATAGGACATGGGTTGTCAACTGAAACCCAAGTATGAAATCATAATGATTTTCTAGATATAGAGGGGACACAACTTGTTACAGACCGACAGACTGGTCACTATAGGGCAACCTCCATTCGGAAAGATTGCTATAAAAAATTATTTGTTACAAATGTATGTGCTAGCTATAGTTACGACTTGTGATATTCTTATTGTTGTCTGGATGACTATTTTGCATAAACTAAAACAGATTGTGGATATGGTGACGTTTTCACAGAAGGCTGGATTAACCTTAAATCTTTGGATTTTGCTGAAAAAAAACGTTTTTAAAAAATTGTTGTGTACCTTGCCAATTACTGTTGCATTGATGATTTGGAATTGTTTCCTTTCTTCCCAAATGATGCTGGCATATACTGCAAAGTTTAGTTCTTATATCAAATTATCATAGTCTAGAATTTTCCCTGTCTTTACACCAACTAGACTGGAATGTCCTGAAATATACGAAGTCCATGTCCTTTTTAGTCACATAAAAAAAAGGTCAAAAACAGTTTCTGATAATTATATTCAAAATAAAAACTAGAGGCTCTAAAGAGCCTGTGTCGCTCACCTTGGTCTATGTGCATATTAAACAAAGGACACAGGTGGATTCATGACAAAATTGTGTTTTGGTGATGGTGATGTGTTTGTAGATCTTACTTTACTGAACATTCTTGATGCTTACAATTATCTCTATCTATAATGAACTTGGCCCTGTAGTTTCAGTGGAAATTATTTTGTAAAAATTTACAAAATTTATGAAAATTGTTAAAAATTTATTATAAAGGGCAATAACTCCTTAAGGGGTCAATTGACCATTTTGGTCATGTGACTTATTTGTAGGTCTTACTTTGCTGTACATTATTGCTCTTTACAGTTTATCTCTATCTATTATAATATTCAAGATAATAACCAAAAGCTGAAAAAATTTCTAAAAATTACCAATTCAGGGGCAGCAATCCAACAACGGGTTGCCTGAATGGTCTGAAAATTTAAGGGCAGATAGATCTTGACCTAATAAACAATTTTGTTTTTGAAAGATTTGCTAGAAATGCTTTGGGTTTAGATATATGAGCCAAAAACTGCATTTTACCCTTTGTACTATTATTAGCCATGTCGGCCATCTTGGTTTGAGGGCGGGGTCATCAAACACAATTTTTAAACTACATACCCTAATGATGATTGTTTACAACTTTAGTTAAATTCATCTTAGTAGTTTCAGAGGAGAAGATTGTAAAAGATAACAAAAATTTACGAAAAATTGTTAAAAATTGACTATAAAAGAGCAATAACTCCTTAAGGGGTCAACTGACCATTTTGGTCATGTTGACTTATTTGTAGAACTTACTTTGCTGAACATTATTGCTGTTTACAGTTTATCTCTATCTATAATAATATTCAAGATAATAACCAAATAAGGCAAAATGTCCTTAAAATTATTAGTTCAGGGGCAGCAACCTAACAACGGGTTGTCCGATTCATCTGAAAATTTCAGGGCAGATAGATCTTGAGCTAATAAACATTTTTACCCTATGTCAGATTTGCTCTCAATGCTTTGGTTTCAGAGATACAGTACGGGTAGAGACTTATTATTATGGATGTCTTAATCCGTCTAGATGTCAGACTGGCCGGACAGTTGTCTGAGTGTAATTAACAACTGCTGTGATATCAACCTGTACAATATCCGAGTGGAAGGTCGTAAATCAATCTGTACCAGCTTGATTAGAATTAAATTTTACCTGTACAGATATTTTACTATTTATGGAGGATAGATAACAAATGTAAAATATTGTTTTATATTCAAAAAGAAAAAATTACAATAAAAATAAAAATTTAATATCATGAATATGGGATCACCTTTTTTTTAACTTGAAAATGAAAGAAAGACGATTTTTAACAATGTACTGTAAAAATGTGTTGCCAGTTATAATAATTGTGTTTGTGCCAATAAACTATTCGTATTTGTATTTGTAAACCGTAAATATTTCATTTTATTCAAAATTATAACAACCAGGACTGTTTTCAATCGAAGTTTTAATCAAAATGTTGAGACATAAATCCCGTAAATTATACGGGTTTTCGTTGATGGTTACAATATTTCCCCCTTTTAACGTCCTGTTCCTTAAAGTTATTAATAGAAACACAATTCTAAGTATAAGGCCAACATATCATATTTATAGAGTATATAAACAAATTGAATATAGGCATTGTGAATAAACTGTTATTTTCCTTTCGATACCACGTTCCCCGTCGGAGCCTCTACGTCTATTCATACCTGTCAATCATTTCTCGCAAGTAAAACAATTTGGTCAGCCAGATCATCCGTGCTTTCTATTTAGACATATATTTCCCGTTAATCTCTTTGAAACAATTGTTTTTTTACAATATTTATAACGCAGTGATAATCTTTCGATTCCTTTTTTTTATATAAAAAAAACTTTTCATATGCACGTCAATATTCTATGACCCAGCACTGTTTTAAATTTTGTTTGTTAATAAATTTACATAGAATAGAAATAACAGATTTGTTGACACTCGTTGTATTATAACAAAGATATTGCCTTTCTATTTCCATGTTTGAAATTTTAATGAAAATCGTGTTTTTATAAACATATTTTACGAATTGTGTCAATCAAAACATGAAGATCAAAGTTTTACACTATTCATGATTAGCCGTCTTTACTTTTGCGTCGTATTTCTAGCCATTCTTTAAAGCTTGTGCAGTCAGTAAGATTTTGTAAATCGATGTCGGCAGTTTAATTGTATAATTCCCGAACTTTAAAGGAGGTGTCCGAATAAATTATTTAAATAGGAATCTAGGTGTTGACTAAGAAATATAATAAATAAAATAGTTAAAGAAGACTAAAGCTTGTTTTTTTTATAATTACAAGGATTAAATTTTCTATTCTGGTAAATCAATTATTAATGGATCTCGATCAAGAGCCTCAAAACTAACGCACAATACTGCCAATCATTACGTATCAAATTAAATCATGAATGGATTTTCCCACGGTCGGTCAGTAAGGTCACCTGTGTCAACTGTTACGATATTTCCCGCCATAAGAAAATCACGTGCATTTGACAAAATTAATCCCAGCTATTTTTAGCATTCAACATTTTATTGAGAGTGAAGTCAAGTTCAAAGTTCAACCATATGCTGTTGATCACTGATATGTGTATCATGGAATTGTCTTTTCACGGCAAATATTTTTTTAGATTGGTGTCAAAAATACAACATACAAGTTAACATGCATTGTGCGTAAATTAATATTATGCAATTAAGAGTCAATGCAGCACCATAAAATTAATAAAATAGGAGTAATTGCATTTCTTTAGACTACAAATCATAGTAAATATTTAATTAACTGGTCATCAAACGATTGAATGCTTCTTGTTTTAATGTCATTTCATGTCAGTGGCAATTATTTCATGCATATTTTACAAACACAGAAATATCAAAATAAATCAATTCCCGAGAAGAATCGTTATCTTCTTCTAGTGTTATTATTTGCGTACTACTTTAGTTATATATCACCAACTTTCGGACAATATTTGTTTACAGTAAAAAGTAAATTCACAATTATAAAGAATCACCAAACTACTAGTATACAAGTATTGCTCACTGTAATTATTTTTATTTCAGAACTGACCCAACGCAGACTGAAAATTAAATACAAATGTAGTGTTGTCAAACTAAAACGTATGCAGCAGCACTTTGCACATCATTCTGCTAATCAATGGGTTTATGTGGAAAATAAATCAGTAAAAAATAACCTTCCAGAAATAAAAAAGAAAATATTTTAAAAATTGTATGCCAACAAATACGAAAAAAATACATAACAAAAAAAAAACCCAGTGAACATAGAAAATAATATTTTGAGGAATAAAAACAGCATTTGAAATATAAAAAGCCATAATTAAAAAAATAGGCTATTTTTATTAAAACAAAGTTGTCTCTAGTACTTCACCTGTAAAAATATTTTATGTCAAATACGATGTAGAACTAATCAATAAAGTGACTGAGAGGTTTAAATCACAGGTAACCTGATTCTGAAATCAGTGAAGCGTAATAATCTAGTAGCACGAATTGAGATGAAAGGACAATTATATTACCGTTCACACCTGGATCTGTTGATTAATGACCATACTACCTACCATAAAAAAGTCGGATTATTCATTTCCGACATGTCCCAGTCCGTTATTTATAGTAATAAGTCTCTACCCGTACTGTATAAGCCAAAATCTACATTTTATCCCTATGTTCTATTTTTAGCCATGGCGGCCATCTTGGTTAGTTGGCCGGGTCATCGGACACATTTTTTAAACTAGATACCCTAATGATGATATTGGCCAAGTTTGGTTAAATTTGGCCCAGTAGAAATGAGTTACGGCCCTTGACTAAGGTATCGGGTGTGTAACTACTTAAAGACAAAAATCGTAATTAACTTTGTTTTCTCATCGACAATCACTTCATAGTATTATAGCTGCTTGCTTGTATGTAGTTCTAGTCTTTAAGTGACTAATTGTAGAAAAAAAAACTTTAGAATAGCTGAATTCAGGCAAGTTATGGCAAAATCTAATGAAGAAAGTGAACCCAAAATGGCGTCCTATGCAGAAAAAATTAAAACAGACCCTAAAACAATTGAACCCTCAGACATGGTTAGTGTTAAACCTGTATTTACATTGGAATCAGATGTCTTTGGATCAATATCTGAAGGAGAGACTCTGAAAAAATTATACCTGACACACACTGAAATGTACAAAGCTGTCAGCGAAGTTGTACCCGATAGAACAATTATTGGCCTTCAAAGAATCCGAGGCTTATGGAGAATTTACCTTGATGACGAATCTGAAAGAGATATCCTTATATCCAAATGCATCACAGTTCGTGGTAAATCAGTCTGGACTTACTCAAGAAATCCACGTGTGACTGCACATGAAAACATCAACAATGTACGAATAAGAGTAAAAGACGTACCTCTTTCAGCAGACGACGGACAAATTATTAGGGAGTTGGAAAAATATGGTTGCTCAATTTTGAGCAACTTTAGAGAACGATTACGATATAACTACAAACTGACCAACTGCCTAACCGGAGACAGGATCATCATTTGTGATGGACCGCTAACAGAGCACATCCCAAGATCCATTCTCATTGGCAAATATAGAGCCACCATCCTCTATCGTGATCAGCTTAAAAACAACTTTCAAAATAAAAAATGTTCGAAATGTCTGAAAGAAGGTCACCAAACAAAAGATTGTACCAATGATTAGGTATGCAGATCATGTGGACAAGAAGGACACAAACAAAATGCCTGTACCAAGGATACTTTCTCAGACGTCCCCGAACAATCAGATAAAGAAAGCAATGAAACAAGTGATGCGGATGATGAAACTTCTGAATCTGAAACTGGCACTGATGCAACACAAATATCCGTCCAAACCAACAATGATG